TCCATATCAAGAACTGAGCAGTGAGGCAGCTACAACACTTGACTGGAAGGCATAGATTTTTTAAAAATCTTTTTCTGTAGGACTTCAAAGTACATTGTAATGACTCACCAATTTCTTTCTATCGCAGATCAAACAACATTTAAAACCCCTTTCCGTGTGCATTGCTGAAGCATGAGGCTTTCCATCACTTTCCCCAGGAGAACATTCTACTGTCTTAAAGTTCTTATTGTTAAGAAGATTATTTTCTTCATGTTTAGCTTAAATTTGACACTGTATTTTACCTTTAAATCCTAGTTCTATTTGCTCCATCTTATTTATTCCAAAATGTGATAGTCCTCTTCCCTCTTTGGATTTTTAGTGATGCCAGAGGTAAAACTTGAGTACTAACACATTTACCCATAGTCTTTTGTAATTCAGCTAGAATCATGACCAATTGTGAACCAGTGCTTGCCTTATTCCAGTTTAAGAGGTATCATGGTGTTTTATATCTGTTTTATCTGTTTTATATCTATTTTTCTCAAGATCATCTTTGTTTCTTCCTAGGAAATTCCCTGTTCATAGTAATGGGTAACTATCCACCTCTAAACCAAGAGCTAGAGCCTCCTGTGTCTGAATCACAGAATGGTTTGGGTTGGAAAGGACCTTAAAAATCATTTAGTTCCAACCTCCCTGACATGGGCATGGATACATTCCACTAGACCAGGTTGCTCAAAGCCCCACCTGGCCTTCAACATTTCCAGGGATGGAGCACTGACAACTTCTCTGGCTAACATGTGCCAGGGCCTCACCTTCCCCACAGGAAAACATTTCTTCCTTGTATCCACTTTCTAATACCTTTTTAGCTACCCTTTTTAGTCTAATCCCATTAATCCTTGTACTGTTACTACAGGCCTTGGTAAAAGCTACTCCACCTTTCTTATATATTGAAATATATCTTTATATATTGAAAGGCCACAATAAAGTCTCCCCAAAGCCTTTTCCATGCTGAACAACCACAGCTCTCTCTGCCTGTCTCCAAAGGAGGGATTCCCGTCAAAAATCAATTTCCAAAAGCTATTTTGAAGCCCTCCTGTGGCCTCCCCCTTACAGATTAGTGATGTTATTTTACTGGGAGCCCCTGTATTGGAGTCAGTACTCTGAATGTGGGTTTTGAGAGGAGAGGAGGTAAATTATTTCTCTTGACTCTGGTCACGCTTCTTTTTATGCAGTCTGGGGTGGGCTGCCAGCACTTACTGCTAGTTCATATCCAGTTTTCCACCCACCAGAATCTCCCAAGTCCTTCTCTACAGGGCTGCTCTAAACCCGTTTTTCCCGAGTCTGAGTTGGTATCAGGGACTGCCCTGGCCCAGAAGCAGGACCTTGAGTTTGGCCTTCATGGGCCCACACCTCAAGCTTGTCAAGGTTTGATCTGAAGGTTACAGTCTTTCACATATTTTGACATTTTCGCGCTCTCATATATTACAGGGGAGAAGGGAGTTTGACTGAGATGCAGGAAAAAGGTGGTTTGAGTCTTACTCTGCATATTAATTGCCCTTAATTGCCATGCTGGAGTATGGAGACTGGGGTTGAAGTGGGGGAAGCACATTGAGAAGGTAGGGCATAAACAGTGGTGTGCATTTTACAGAGCTTGATTGTAACATCTAAATCTGCTTTTAAAATTACAGAGACTAAAGAACAAAGGAATATGTTAATTAGATAACATGTGCTGATTAAAGTGAAAGATATGCAGCTACTTTGTTTTTCTTTTGGTAAATAACTATTCTCTGGAATCTTTTTTTTCATTCATTTTCATCACAGTAGCCAGATTCAAAACATCTTTAATTTCCTGAGGCCTAAATCTCATAATATTTTGATGTTTATAGAAGTATTACTAAAATTTGACAAAATATCAGAGCCACCATTCTTCACAATAGTAAAGGACAAATGATTCCACATCACAAGAATATAAAATCAAACTTAGTGCCCCAAAGAGCAAAACACTGATGTACAAATAAGATTTGTCTGGTTGCTTCCAAATCTGAAGCCACGGGGGACTGGTTGAAATACCAGCTGATGTTTGCTGCACCTGCTAATTGCCATACATACTGTTGAATCTGTGCTGTTTCATCTGCAGTAGCAGGCTTTATTCTCAGCAGGGATCAGGGTGCTCCTGGATTTTTAGTGAACATGGCTGGATCCTGCAACTGGCTGTGTCCCCCATCAAGCTTTGTTTAGCATTTGACTGCTGTTTATTACAGTATTTCTGAAATTTCTCCAGACACACAAACTGCTCTGGACGTGCTGTTTTAATTTCTCCACTTGTCTGAAGCTGGGAAATGGGGACAGGGGAGGCAGAATCCAGGGGCTGGGGCTGAGAGTTCGGTCACAGTGACCTTGCAAGGGTGTCTCAGCCCTGGTGAGACACATCTGGAGATCTGTATTCAGTGCTGGGTTTCCCAGTACAAGACATAGATGTATTGGAGTGAGGTAATATTGGATATTATTGGATATTGGGGTCTTGTTTGTTTTTCTTTTTTTTTAAATTACAAAATCCCTTGAGTAGAATACAAGCAAAAAAAAGGTCAAAAATTAATAAAAGGCTTTAAAATTTGCAGCAAACATTTGATCACTCAGCTAACTGTGTTTAAGAAAAGAACATTCGTATACATAAAAGTTATACAATTTATGCTTATTGTAATTTCTAAACATATTTTATCGTCCATTCATTTTGATTTTCATTGTGATCAATATCCACAAAAAACATGATGAATGCTATTTTTCTGTGTAAAAGAAAGTGCAACTGTGTCAGTCTCATTCAATTTATTCTATGCAAAGAAGCAAACTTTATTATCACACTAGCATAGAAATATTAAATATTTAAATTGGTGGGCTATAGCCTAGTCCATAATACCCTCTTGTAAAACAATACTGTGTTGCACATGCTGCTCTTACATTGCTTCTCTCATATTCACATTAATTTAATCAAAATATAAGAGCTACTTTGTTGCAATTATCAAAGAAAGCAAATAAGCCAAAGAAAGTTATGATACAAACAGTTGTGTGATAATACAGGTTAATCTACTTGCCTTGGCCTTACCTTGGAAATAGCTGGGGAAAAGAATTTACATACACTTTGCAGAAGAGAAATTAATAGCTGATGTGGCATTCAATATGTTTAATGCAATCAGAATTTTACAGGAAATTCAGGCAAAAGTGGTTCAAGAGATAGTTTTTTGTATGGCCCATGTACATATTTCCCTCAGCACAGTAGTTATCTTTTTTCTTTTTTGCTTCCTTCTGTGCATTACTTGTGTCACATGTACTAGTCTCTCCATTGTGAGATGGTAACTTCTATCACGATGACTTGGCTTACAGGGAACATATTTCTATCTCTTCTTCTGACCAGAAGTTGCTAGAAATTTATCTTATTAACCCAGATGTGCTTTGATTTCAGCAGTAGATGCCTTCAAATTAATCAAGGACAAAATTTTCTCAGAATGGGTCTGTAGAGATGGTTCCCCAAACACCTTTCAGTGTTCCACAGTTACTGATAGGGGGTTAAGTATGGAAAAGGAATGTACAGGTGCACATGGATTCCCAAGAACTGGTGTGGAGGTCACGCAACTTTTGGTAACAAGGAAAACAAAGGAAAGGTGGTATCAGAGTAGAGTTGAGGCTTACCCTGTTCTGAGTCACTGAGATCTGAAAGGTAGTTCAACAGGGTTGGGAATTTATTAGTAAATCCAAACACAAAGATGCCATAAAAATTAAAGAATATAGCTTTAACATTTTCACCACTCCTTCATGAGTGTGTACCTACTTTTCCCCTTACTAAGAGAGAAATCATTTTTGTGCCGTAGGAAGTCACTTAAGATGTCCTAGGAAATATCAGCCAGTTCAGCAGTCTCATGTGCTCCCAGTAAAGGAATTATGGCCTTCCTCCCTGTCTCCCTGTCTGTCTCATTTTCTTTGTGCTCACTCTCAAAAGGAATTGTATTGCTGCATTGAATATGAAACAGCAATGTAAAAAGAATGATTCCCCCACATGTAAGATAAAGGACTGTATGACCTAGAATATGCTTCCTATTTTTCTTGCCGGAGGCAAAAATATATGAAGTCACCTTCCACTGTTTCTCCTTTAAAAAGATACCAAAATTCTTCACTCTCCCTGTTGAATATATTTATTTAACGCATTTTACTGTGTTTTTTTTCCTAGATGTTACATAGATATGAATATTCATATGCAAACGTGACATGTTTGTCTCTAGTCATTAACACAAGTGAATCACCCTTTTATGAACTCAACCTCCTCTTTAATGGTTTTCTTTTGCTGTTTTCCAATTTGATTTCATATAGTGGAAAGACCAAAAAGTAACAGAAATTAAAACAAGTAATGTAATGCTGCACATTTCCCCTACTCTTTCGCAATACTCTACTACCTTGAAGGTTTAGAGAAAATATGAAATTATGTATGAAAAAAGTCTCTTGTGTAAGCTATTCATATTCACTCTGCTCCGTGAATGCACCTCCGATGCTGCAAGCTCCAATGTTATACACAGAAGGATTCAACTTCCTGCTGACAATATGGAGCTCATCACATCTTTTTAAATGAGTCTGGAAAAATTCCCCAGTTACACATATGCCTGCTTTTCTAACGCATGCACCAGAGGGTTAGGCTGGCTTCATGTATTCCTTGAGAATTGACTTCTCTCCCTCTCTTTCCCTCTTCCCGCTGAAACATCTGCGTTTGATTTCTGTTTGTCAGCTGGCAAAAGGAAGCTGAAATACCTCTGTGACACTTACTCACAGATGCACATTTTATATGATCCATCTGCAAAAAGAACCATGTGGTATCTGCTTTCCACCATGGGCCAAAGGATCAGATTTACAAAATTATGTGGGTATTGGATTCACACTGTAATCAAAGATTCTTGGGGTTACAAATAACTGCCCTAGATATCTTGAGTTTATACTTGATTACTACTTAGATTTCTACTGACACTACTGTGTAAATATTGCAGGATTTGTATTTCTTCATGCCAAAGAAGAAAACAGAGCAAGGGATGCAGAAAGGGTGAAAGAACATATCTGATAAGAAGTGACACTCATGACAACTACCATGTGTTGATGGTCACAGAGTGTAAGTAGTTGTGAAGTAAATCCATGATTTTCAAAGCAAGGCTCAGGTTCTATATTTGTCTTGAGTAGTGTTAAGGTGAGCAAAGTTTCCATAGGGACTGAATTTTCTTGACAAGAAGCTTTGTTACACTTTCTATGACCTTGTGCTCACAGAGTAGAGTGAATGCAAAACTTTTTTGTGATGCTCACTACATCCCCAGTGAGGACAAAATTCTACCAAAAATGACAATGAGCATGATCTTTCCCTCATAGAATTTTAATGACATACAATTCCTATTTCAAATCCTAAACTGGGCTCAACAATTTTGGGTGATACATAAGTGTGAATAATAATTTAAAATAGGGTAAAATGAGTGTATGTAGGAATGTAGAGTTCTCTATCTTGCAAAGTTTGACTGGATTGAGATGGGGAAATTGAGAGTGAAAGGATGCATATATGAATGTCAGAGCAAAGAATTTAGAACAATGCATGGAAGGGAAGTGTCCTTGGTGTTGGTGATGATGAAGCAGCAGCCACCCAGTGACAAGGCTGCAAACTGATTATTGCCAGGTTCTGTTCTGACTGGTGTGTTGGTATAAATCTGAAATAAAAGTGATAATATGTTGTCCTAAAGGATGTTATCTCTGAAATAAATATTAAGCTGTCTTCTAACTTAGGTGCAGGTTCATTATTTCACCAAAACAGATTGTACTGATGTCGATTCTCAGTGGACAGAGAAATTATCACAGTTTTACTCCTTGGCTCATGCTGTGGGAAAGGCTTGCAAGCGGCAACAATAAACAAAACACTGAACAATAAACACAGAACTGAATATTGACTAAAACTCAGTCATCTCATTTTCTAACTGGGTGTTTCCAAGCCTTTAAAATTACCTAGCTAAAGGAAACACTACCAAGAGTGTCTATATGCAGTATAAACTGTACTAAGCTGGACTAGGTACTTGACCTCCCGTTGCTACATATCCTTGATTTTATGTTAGTTGATTTTATGTTTAGTTGACAATCTGGGTGTATCAAACACTTGGTCCATGCCTGGTGTTTTAGTTTTTTGACTGCTAGTTTCTTTTCTTGAATGATGAGCACAGTTGGTATTTCTGTTGCATCAAAAATGTAAAAGGGAAAGGAATGCTTCAAGCAAGCCTATCTGCTGTGAAATAAAGTTCTAAATTGCTTTTCTAAGTATAACTTATTTACCATGATTCATTAATATATACATTCATTAATATATACTGTCAGAATTTTGATTTGTGCACATTTACTTTCAGAATCAGATATATTGTGCTGATTTATGTATGCTGCATATAAAACTTATTTAAAAATCTTAATTTTTAGAGTTCTGGTTTAGTATGTGAGTATATAAATCTTTCTGTTAAATTTCCAGTTTAGTTTCCTGATTTATGTACACAAAATTTCATGGATCATAACGTTGAAATTCTAATTTAATACTGTAGTTACAGTAAGAAGTACAATAAAATATGCAACAGTTAAGGTGGTAGGATGAATGTAATCAATGATTTTTGCAAATTGCACCTCTGGCCCAACTTAAGCTGGTGTAAATCAAAATAACTTCTTCACTTCAGGAACTTTCTCTGACTCATTATATTTATGAATCTTGCTCTTTAGTCATAATATGCAAATATAATTAGAAGCATTACACTTGGAATGGTTTAATGAAAGGGGAAGTTATATCATACAAATAACTTTTCTTTTTGATCTCAACTCTCTACAATCTTCATTTGCTAGTCATCAAGAACAATATACCTAGCAGAGATATGCTGTTACAGATGTTCTCATGAATGTTTTGGTACATTAGCATATACTTCATTTCAGATAAATCAGGTGGTTTGATATTCATTAACTCTTAAAAATAAAATCATAATACAGTTCAAGATCACAATTCATTGTAATGTTCCATTTTCCCATGAGTTCAACTGCTATATTGTTATCTTTCCTACATAATATAATGCAGTATAATATAATAAACTATCACATTTTGTTTTAAATAGGCAATACGAGGTAGTCAAAACACCAAACATGAAATCATCTTTCTAGGTAAAGATAGTTATTAAAAGAGTTTATGTTGAAATGCTGGTAAGATTTATTCCCAAAAAGCAGCTACCTCTTTTTACAAACCCATTTCCCAGCCTGAGAACCCAAATAGCTGTGTATGATGAGCAGCTGTGAGGTCCCCAGGCTAGAAGGACTATCCTTTCTCTAGCAATAATCTGCTCAGAGACTGATGCAGAGGCAAAATATCTTCCATTTCCAAACAACCATGTGTTATGCAAAATTATGGTTAGGTTGCTGTGGCAAGGCTTTGGAGTTTGGTGGTGGGTGGGAGCAGGGGGAGAGTGTGAGGAGCTCTCCCCCTGAGGAGGAAGAAGAGATAGGGAAAATGTGTGATGAGCTGACCAAAGGAATAGGGAATGAAGTTTAGCCTGGGAGAGAGGGATGGGAGGAAGGTGTTTTTAAGATTTGGATTTATTTCTCATTATCCTACTCTGATTTAATTTGATATAAATTAAATTATTTTTCCCAAGCTGGGTTTGTTTTGCCAATGATGGTATGTGCTGAGTGATCTCTCCCTGTTCTTATGTTGACCCCCAAACCTGTTTTGTTTTCTCCTCCCCATCCAGCTGAGACAGAAAGTCACAGAGTGGCTTTAGTGGGCACCTGGCTGCACCTGGCCAAGGTCAACCTAGCAAAAATGGTCAAGAAAACTTAGTTATATTCCTGACCCATAAAGGATCATAAAACTCAACTTAGTCCCACTCTTTTTGTGTGATAAGTCTATTTCCTCTGTATTCTGCTGAATAAAATCACAGAACTGGGGGGAAGATGTGTTTCAACAAATTAACACTTCAGAGGTGTACATAGCTTAAATTTTCCTGTGTCAGTATATTTCAATTGCCTAACTGAAAAAAAAAAGAGCAAAACTGTCAAAACAACATATTCTTTAACTCCAATATTCCATTTTAATGTATTTTCTACTTAGGATCTTTTTCCTGATCCCATGGAAACTTCTTATATACTGATGCATTCTCATATTTTCAGTAGGAATCTGAATTGCTTTGTCTATTTCTAACCCCTGGAACAGATCATCTGGCAGGGATATCCATAAACATTATGTTTCTTGCTGCATAAATAAACTCTTCCAATGTGGGAGTTGAAGGCTTCCTACAATGACCAAGTGTGAAAGTTCTTCTCCTTCATGAGTGGAAGTGCAAGTGACAGAAAATCTTTACAGCCCTTCCCCAGTGAGGGTGTAGGTCTGCAAGCATCAGGCACTCTTGTCTGTTAGACTAAACCTGAGGTCCTGGCAAAAATATTTTTAAATCCAAAAAGAAAATAGCGTTCCAAATGTGTGTGGCTTGTGCAGTTTTAACTAGCAAGGATAACTGTAAGTGGTTATGATACCACTGGGTTTTTCAATGTTAAATCTTTGCTGTAAACAGTCCATGAGTGATGTGAAGGATGGTCATTATCAAGGGTGCACTTATGAGTAAAAATACAGCCAGCAGAGAGTATTGATACCTTGTACAAACTTCCTGACATTTTTACACAAACCAGTGTTTAAGTCATCTTTTGAATAGTAGATTTGAATGTCTTCTGCATTAAAGTCAGAACTTCATGTGGATGTGATAGTCATAGATTGTACAATGATAGTGCTTTGGTGTGGTTAACAGCACCTCAGAACACCTCCATTGCATGAAGTCTTTTCAGACAGTACTATGCACAATTTTAGGACTAATAATTTTGCCATTTAACAAAAGCCTTATTTAAGTGGAGAAAAGTCCCCAAAGCTCACAAAGTAACCCAGATTATAGTAAGTACGTGGGTTTAAAACAGTTTCTTTGTAAGCGTGATCTGATGATGCAAGTAATGACGTGGGCACAAAGCAGAATTTCTGAGAAATATTTATCCATGATATAGATGTATAAGATTCCAGTAGAAAGTGTAATAACTCTGCCCTGCCAATATCTAATAGATTTAGTAATGCATATGCAAATGTAATCTGAGATTTAAGACCAGATTCCAGATCTTCCTTTGAGGGATAGTTTTAGAAAGCCAGCACACTGCCTTTGGTGTTAGAGCTCACTTACACTGATTCAGAGCTCCAGGCTTCAGGAAAGCCAAGTGTCAAAGCCTCAGAAACCTGGTGATGCAGAAACCCTGATCCTCTGGATCCTTAAATATCTGAAGGTGCTTGAGCCAGGAAGCTCCTTTCCTATTGTCCATCCAGAGACTATACTGGATAGTGTGATTCCAGGCATTGGTTGGTTCTGGAAGGAGAAAAAACACACAAAATTTGGCCATTGACAAGGAAAAACAAGAGAGTTTCCAGAAAACCACAAACTGAAGGATATGCGGTTGATG